TCAATTAAGAATATTCGAGATATACATGATGTTTATACTCTTATTATGAAGAACAATGAGACAATAATTTCATTTTTCCGCCAGAAAGGTTTTTTTTATTTGTTATGTTAGTAGATATTCGGTGATTTATATAAACGTACTACACTTATCATAAAATTCATGAAAAGACAGTTTTTTTAATACAAAGAAAACTAATAAAAATTGATCTTAAAGTTGGTTTATTCGAAAGCAAACGAACTATTAGTAATCATTGAATAAACCGAAGCATTTTGGTTCGGATTCAGATGAAGCATAAGTATATGCCATTTCTATCAAAAAGAATTTATGACTGAAAAACAATCGATTCTATTTATAACGAGTTATTTTAAATAATTGAATCATTACCAACTAGAACGAGTGAATGTGAGGTGGAGATTGAGGATGTGCGTGAAACAGAATAGCCACATCCTAACCATCTGCATCGGTGATCGTCCTAGTTTATAAGGATTTAGTTATTTAAAATTAATTCTTATAAAAATTATAAATCTTCACTCGAACTTTAGTTCATGGTCGATATAGGCCTATTATTTATTGATATACATTTGTTGTCTATCTCAATTGCTTATATTATTTCAAAAAAAAAGAACTTTTCTCATATTTAAAACAGATCATAGTTCATCGAAACTCTGACTTGAGCACAAATGTCAACATTGAGTGAGGAGACTCAATGTGAAACGACAAATATAATTGTATGTCTATCTCTTATTTAACTATATCATCATCTTCACTTTTATTCAATTTTATCTTTATTCTCAACATAATTGTTCTATGATATTCTCTATACTCATTTTTCATATTATTTCAAAAAATAAACTTACCAAAATGAAACTATTTCAAACAATTGAATTTCTGAACTCGTGATTTTTGTATAATTATTTTGATATAAAATAAGAATTCCGTATGCCTCAATTTGAATTCCTTCTTCTTCGGTGAATAAATTCTTCTGACTGTTTTGTAAAAGTATAACATTTTATATTTCGTGTGTTTCTTTCCAACTATACATTTGATTTAGAAAAAGAAATTTGACAAAACATTTCAAGCGATGAAGAGAAGAAAAATAACAAAAAAACACATTTTTATTTTTGATCAGATGGATTTTTAGTCTTTCATAACGAAAAAACATTAAAGAATGAAAAATAAATAAAATGAAGAAAAATAAGGTTTTTGAAAATTGAAAACCATTTCAACTAAAAATAAACTTTCAATAGTTTCATTTTGTTAATTATAGAAATTAAAAATCTCAAATAAATTTTTCAATAAAAGAAAGTCGTTTGAAAATAAAAATATAATGATTTAATTGGAAAAGAGAAACTATATCGAAATAAATAACTATAAGACACGATCAGATGGGTGGGTGGGTGTGAGTGTGAGTGTGAGTGTGGGTGTAAGATAAATTTAATAACCACACCTACATCCTCAAGATTTAATGACTGAGAAAAATAACGTGCGCGATAGAACGGTGAAAGAATACTTTGCGTATAATATAGTGACTAAGAGCGTCTACATGCCACTCAATTATTCACTGATTCAACTGTTCGACTATTTCACTTTTCACATATTTAACGAAGTATTTAAGTATTCATCTGTTCAGCCTGCCTGTTACCGTTCCACTCTACGGAGACTATAATCGTCGAAATATTCGATTATCTAACTTTTCGACTTTTCTAATGATCCCATTTGCAAAATTTTAGTGGGATAATTAGAATTTAAAACTAATATCATAGTCTGAAAAGTTTTAGTTGTGATTATTTATTATGATTATGAAATTATTTCTTTCACCGTTACGCTACGAGATACAGTCATAAGTTTATTGTCCACACACTCTTTTTTGCGCTAAAACCTAAACTTCGCAAGGTACTTGATGTGATGAAGCACAATTATTTCCTTTTTACTGACGCTAAGATATATGAAGATGAGACTATTTGGTTCACCCTTATTATCACGTCTAGTTGAAAACTGTACTGAATTGATAGGTACTCGAATTCATCTTCGGTCTTTACATTTATCCACTGGAGGACAAAAAAATAACACCGCACTTTCTACTTCCTACTGAGTTATGAAATAATTTTCTTCTCTTCGTATGAGAGTGACAATAATTTTTTCTGAAAAAGAAAATGTAACAATGAGAGCAAAAAATATTCCTTCCAGTATTGAGAATGTAAGAATGATGGTAGACACCTTTTTTCCGGGAAAGATCTGAGGACAAGAATAAATGAGTTTTTTCCAGAAAGGAGTGTAGGAATGAGAGCAAGAAAAATACGTCTGCCAATGAGAATGCAGGAATGATGATAAACAAGTTTTTTTCCGAGAAAGAGTCTGTGAGAACGCAGAAATGAGTATAAAGAAATTCCTCCGGCAAGGAGAATATAATTCTGATATTAGACAAGTTTTTTCAGGGAAAAAAATATAAAAACACAAACAAAAACACTTTTTTCACGAGGTAGAATGTTGGAATGAGAGTAAGTTATGTTCGCAGAAAATGCCTGCATATTTTGCTCACTTTTTGCAACTAAAAACGCAAGAAATCCTTGCATGATCTTTATCAAATTCTCAGGGATACAGAATGGAGATACTAACTAGGCGTCATGAGAAATAAGATTCATTTTTTTAAATTGATTAGACTCTTTGCGTCATACACATTTTGACATTGCATTAAAAGCTGGATAGAAAAGAGTTTAATTTAAAGCACAATTTGCTTGATTTGTCGTGTTACGAGAGCTAGGATGGTCACGCAGATTATTTCAACTTATAAGAAATTAAAACTCGAATTGGTTGGGTTTGAGTGTGGGTGACGGTGTAGTAAGAATCCTTATCGTCACCCTTACTAACCCTCGCCTACACCGACACCCATATCCAAAGCTATTTATTTAACTTTTTCTTCAAATGATTTTAATGTGGAACTTACCAAAATGAAACTGCTTAGATGAGATGATTTGAAAAATCCAAGTAACTTGTAAATTTCTGATGCTATTATGTATATGTAATGATGTTTTCGCTTCGCCGAATTATTCGTTTTATTGATTTTATAAATTAATAATATTTGTAACTTTTTTTCTTTTTTTTCAGCCATCCACGCATTTTATTGTAAAAGAATATGCACACATACAAAAGAAGTCATTCAAATATTTTGATTAATTTAAGTCAATAGAACGACTGGGATATGAATGACATTTTGAAGAAGAAAAAAAAACAATTATAAGTAATTTATATAAAAAGAACTGTATAATTCGCTTCGCCTTTCGGATTAATTTTGTCTTTTTTAACTGATATCCAATGCATGACAGAATCTTTTCTAAATATCATTAAAAAAATCATGTTAACGCAATATTAGGGTGTGGGTGTGGGTGAGAGTCAGAGTAATAGGTAAACGTCCACACCCACACCCACACCCTTAGACATTCATCGCAAGATATATCAGAAAGATATTTTATTTTCATAAGAGAGAAATCAAATCAACTGATTCATTTAGCTATATATGAATAATTATTTTGATTAAACTCAAATGTACTTTTTTCTTGATTAAACGTGAAAGATAATATTATTCATACAATGAGTCAAGAAATTATTCATCCAATGTGCGTTCTTAGTTTATCATATCAAACAAACTGCCGTGAAATAATGTATCTTCATTTTTCTTCCTACATTGACTATAAAACTGCAATTCACATCTTCATTTTTACTGAAGAGAATCTATAAAAATTGAAGAAGAGTTTTTCGATTTCTGTATGTGTATCCATATGATCTATTTAAAATAGACTCGATTAAATTTTTTATTTGTTTTTTTTATATGTAAATGCATGTATAATAATGATTAGTTTGATAGATTCAATGTTAGTTTATTAAAAAAAAAGAACAGTTTTATCGATTTTAGTATTCGTAACTATGAGAGTTATAATTTCAAGGCTAATCACCTTATTCACCAATATGTCCATCACGATTCAAATCAATATGTGTAATTTTCTCCAATTCATTAATGAGACCATCATTGCTAGGTTGATGATAATGTGGAGAATTGTTAAAACCATTATAAGATTGATAACTTGAAAAATGTGCAGATGATCCTCCAATACATCTATCACTATTAAAATTACTATGAGTACCCTTTTCTATTTTATTCATAACGCCTTCACCACCAGAACGATGACAATGTGGATGACGACTGGAATCATTATATGATTGAGAATTTGGAATATGTGAAGATGATGTACCAATCCGCCCATCACCATTGAAATCAATATGAGTACTCTTTTCTATTTCATTCATGATACCTTCACCAGCCGAATAATTAATAACTGGAGTTTCAATGAGATTATTATATGGTTGATAATTTGGAATCTGTGAAGGTGATCTACCACTATTAAAATCAATATGAGTTCTGTTTTCCACTTGATTGACAAAATCTTCACCACCAGAATAATTCATAACCGGAGGTTCAATGGGATTATTATATTGTTGGTAATTTGGAATTTGTGGAGACGGTCTATCGCCATGGCAATCAATATGAGTTCTCTTTTCCATTTGATTGATTTGACCTCTACTAGGAGAAGGCTGAAAATGTGATTGTTGCATGAATTGTCCACCAATCAGCCCATCACCGTCTATATCTGTACTTGTAGATCTTTCCAAATCATTTATTAAATCATTAGAACCAACTTGAATAAAACTTGGAGGTTGCATAGGTGCAATATATGCATTGAAACCTGAACGAAAAGAAGAACCATTATGTGACAGATGTTGAGGAGGTTGACTACGTTGTCCACCAATAAATCCATCACCATTTAAGTCTGTATTTGTAGATCTTTCCAAATCATCTAGACAATTATCAGAACCAAGTTGAGGAAAATTTGGAGGTTGCATAGGAACACTATGCATAATGGAGCCTGAAGAGAAAGAAGGACCATTATGTGGTAGACATTGAGAAGACTGACTGCGTTGTCCATCTAAAAATCGATTACTATTGGAATTTGTATGTGTAGTTTTTTCGGCTTTACTAAATGAACTAACATGTTTGTAGGATGATGATTGGTATTGATAACCATATGTCGATCCAGTATTAAAATCTTTTCAAAATAAAAATAAAACGATTATAATATATAAAAATTTCAAAACAGAATCTATCATTTTATATAAGAGGAAAAGTATTTTTCTCTTTATTTGATGTATCTTATTCTAAATTATATTAAAGACATACTCATCTGAATTAATTTTGAACTTGGTTGATAACAAAAGGCTAAAAACAAAAAAAAAGAAATATTAAAATAAGAATATAAAAAATGTATATTGAATTATTCATAAGTACAAATATATATCAATATGATGATCAAATAAATATCACCTGTATTTTTGTCTATATTTATATAATGAATAAATATACGTTCTTTATTTTCTTTTTCTTTTTTTTCGTCATTTCAAGTAAGAAAAGATCGAATGAGATAAACACGCAGACACCTGATATTTATTTTATGTATTTAAATATTATTTTTTCTTTCTCGAAACATAGATATGGTGAATAATAATAATGAATAACGTCAATCAATATGAATAACAATATTTAATATTGATAAGACAAAAATTATTAAAATGTATATTTGTATCTCAATTTGAATAGAATAAAGTGTAAATAAATGTGAACATATTTAATTTATTAAAAAAAAAACTAATTATGACAATGAAAATTCTAAAAATATAGATAATTAAAATAATAATTGAGTTTATTCGAAGATTAAGAAATACTTTTATTCATAAGTATAAAAATTTATTAATCCTTTATTTCAAAGCATTTAGATACTCTTATCAAAAAGTATTTATAGAATATACACATTTCATGAAATATGCTGAAGTTATTTTAATATTACCAAATGGCTTGATTATTCATATACGTAGCAGGGTGTGGGTGTGGGTGTAATCTTAGTCCTTCACCCATACTCACATCCTTGTGAGATTTTGTTTACAAGTATAGATCCCATAATTCAAGGTGTATTCCATTAGTATCTGTTAACTTGTATATATATTCTGCTTCGAATTTTTGTTATCATAGTTCGCAAAATGCTAAAATTTAAGAAGTAATGCAAACTTCTCTGTTGAAACTGTCATATTTAATGTTCATTCGATCCAAATCGTCATTCAAAGTGAGCTAGTGCTATCTTCTTTATCCATCTTTTTCAAATGGCATGTCAACTACTTTAAAATTTCTATCGCTTGTACACGCAGAAGAAGAGAAAAACAGGATATGGAAGAAAAAACTAGTAATTTTCTTCTCATATCTCATCTATGCAGCCCACCAACATGTAAAAAAATAATTTTAGTCATTATTTTATTCATCGCTAAAAATTATTTATTATTTAATGATACAAAGAACAGAACGGTAAATAATCCCCAGAAGATTATGCAGGGATCATTTTATGTATTATTTTTTAGAAGTGAGATACTTATGAAAATGAACATCTGCAAAAGTTTTCCAAAAAAACTGAACCGCGTTAGAGAAAATATATTTTCAACAATAAATATTCTATTCATTTTCAATTCTTCTCAATTTATCTTAGGCAGTATTTTACATCATTCTCTCACTTTCTTTTTTTTCTTCGATATTATAATCAATGTTATTTTATTCAGAAGAGTTTTTACACCAATAGAAAATAACAACTGACATCTGCACAATATTATATTTAGAACTGACTTAGAAAAAATGAAATAAGATTATTGTTTCTATCAATATACCATTTTTTTGTTCCACATGTTACAAAATTTTTAAGAGAAGAGCTATTTTTTTATTTAACTGATAAGAAATAGAAAATTTATATTATTTTCACGTTATTTTTAATCCTGTCACATAAGAATACATCAAAACTTTATTTTAACATTGTTTTATTTTGATTAATTAATGAAATATTTAATGAAAGATGATTTATGTTTTCTATAACTCTATCAATGATCTTTGAAGAAAAAAAAGTTTTGTTTTGTCGATTTTAGATTTTCAAATTCTTCATATTTAGATAAAAGAACAAGTATGAACATCGATGACACAGTAGATGTTGATGAAGTAATGTATTAAATAGAAAACACATAGAATAAAATAATCTTTTCGAATATTTTAGTCTATCGTAGTTAACTTAAATCCAACACGTTTACAAACATTGTATGTATATATAAGATGAATTAAAATAAATTATCAAAAGGATTTCTTATTTTTTTAGATACGAACATTTTCGGAAACGAAAACTAATTTGGATAATAGTTTCGATTGTTTTGATTGTTACAATTATAGCTATTCCAACAATTATTGTTACAGTGAATAAAGGAAAAGGAGAAAAAACATCAACAATACCGATAACAACAGTCGAGATAATAACAGCTACATTAGCAGTACACATAACAACAGTAGAGAAAACAGAAGCAGCAGCAGCAACACCAACAACAACAGAGACAACAACAACCGGTATGATTTTATTAATAGTAGTTCGTTTCTTAGAAAAAGTAATTCATGAAAGATAAATTAGTTCGAATATTGATTTTTCTTTATTCAGTCTTCGATATCGGTTGTCATAAATTATACTTTTATAGAATAATGTTAAAAGGCTCACTGAAGGGCGAATGAGAATGTAGTATCGAATTCATACCACATCCGTCTACAATCAGACCTACCTCTCTCATAGTTTATATGTAGTGACCTTAAAATATTCTGTTCATCAAAATAAGATATGTTTTTCTTGTTTTAATCTTTTTTATACCTTTATAGAAGAATTAATTCCTTTGGTTATTATTAATGAAAATACAAAATGGAAACAAAGTACAATTACTGTTGCTGGAGGAAATGGAGATGGAGATCAATTAAATCAATTAATTCATCCTCAGGGTATTTATGTTGATGAGGATAGTGGAGATATTTATATTACTGACGTTGGGAACCGTCGTATTGTTCGATGGAAATTTAGTGAAGACACTGGTGAAATTGTTGTAGGTGGAAAAGGGCAGAGTAGTGGTATAGATCCATCGATGGTGTCAAAAGATATAATTCTCGATAAAGAGAAAAAATCTCTCATCATTTGTGATCAAACCAAAAGACGAGTGATACGATTGTCTCTTCAAAATAGTCAGGATATAGAACCATTAATACATGATATTACTTGCTGGGGTTTAGCAATGCATAGCAATGGAGATCTTTATATTTCTGACTGGGGAGAACGAAAAGTTAGACGTTTGCAGAAAGGAGAGACAGAAGATACACCTGTAGCAGGTAACAACGGACACGGAAATCAGTTAAATCAATTCTATGAACCTAACTATATCTTTGTCGATAAAAATCATTCAATTTACGTAGCGGATTATTTGAATAATCGTGTGATGAAATGGATGAAAAATGCACTTGAAGAGACTCTTGTTGCTCCAGGAGAAACATCTAGCGAAAATCCCAATTCACTAGTTCAACCCATAGGTGTGATTGTTGATCATGTGGGTGATATTTATATGTCGAGTGAAAAAAATTATGAAATAACACGTTGGTCGCCAGGTGCAAGAGAAGGTGTTCCTGTCGTTGGTGAAAAACAATCTGGAAACGGACCCACACAACTCCGCGACCCATATGATTTATCATTTGATCGACAGGGTAATCTTTATGTTGCCGATACAGGCAACCATCGAATACAAAAATTTCTTATTGATCGTGACTAAAACAAGTTTTTGATGATAAAATAACTTTTGATGAATATTTATTTTTTGTCGCTTTTCAATTTTTTTTCATTATCTTTCACCAGTTATGCATTGTTCTCTTCTTGATCCTATCACATAATGAGTTATTTTTCGCAATCATATAACAAATCCCTCAAGTTATTTCTGCGTTCTTTTACATCTTATAGATATTATATGTAAGATAATACAATCGATCGTTATTGATATTTCATCATGGACGAAATTATTCCTTCTATAGCACGTGAAACTAATCGATATGCGGAGTAATACTTACAAAACCCATGCGATTAACAGACAGTAAAAATTTCGTTAATTGAAACTAACCACTGATGAAGAAATACTCAAGTTCTTTAGAATCATTATAAAGATAATATTCGTACAAATGACGAAACTGAACTATTAATGCAGCAGTAGTCACTTATAGGGTGTGGATTCATCTTTTCTTTACACAAACGCACATTCAAGATTATATTGTAAATTTTTCACAGAGATAATTTATTAAACTAAATAACAAAAACAAAAGAAATTAATTATGTATATCTTTATGTTCAATTCCATATTTTTCTCTTAATTCATGTAATAATGTATGATTATATAAACAACTAATAGTTTTATTATTCTTCTTATCAATCATACCTCGAATATTCCATTGATGATATTCATGTATAAATTCTTCTATCCAAAAATGTAAACATGCAAAGTTTGTTTCTGGTGTTCTTGTTGTTACTAAAGAACAAAATTGTTTATCTTTTTTACACATTTCAACAAATAATTGTCCATCAATTCCTAAATTTTCTAGAGGATTAACTGGTAATGAAAATCCTTGTAGAATAAGTTCACCTGCTTGTCGTATTAATTTAACTAATTGATTTTTTTCAATACCTTTCACTCGTTCATTAATTGGATAATAAAGACCTCTAATATAAGGCGTTCCACTTGTCATATATTGTTCACCATAAGTTGTAACTGTTTCAGTATTTTCTGATATTGAACTTCCAAGATTAATATGAATAGATCCATCTGATAGAAATGTTTGATACATTTGTCCAGTACCTGGCGCACTTATATGAATATCCATTTGACGTAAAACACGTAATTGAGCACTGAATTTATTTTCAATAAATAATCTATTACTAATATTTTTAGGTTTAATCGCATGATAATAAAGATAAGATATATTAATTAATGGCCATTCTAATTTAATTTTTTTATTTAAATAAAATTCCGTATAATTATTTATTTCATGAATAGCACTCATAATTTGATGAAAATCACCATCTGTAAAACGTTTATTATGAATAATATATGCTTGAAGAATATCATAAGATGTTCGATATTGAGAAGAAGATTTTTGTCGAGTTATTGGATAAATAAGATTATGTTGTTGATACATTCTATTACGAAAAAGTCTTGAAGCATCTAATTCAACACCACCATATAATTGTAAATTTGGTTGTAGACAACGTTGACATAATGTTCCACTACCCATAATCATTTCATCGAACATAAACCATTTTGTTTTTGATAATTCTTTTAGATCTGGTTCTTTAATAATTCCAAGACCAGCAAAACGATGATATATATCTTCAGTCCAACATTTATTACAATCAGGTAATTCTGTAAGAATTCGAAATGGTTGAAGATGTCGTGGAGAAAATCGTATAAGTGCAACATAAGCTGGATATAATCCATCGAAAAGTGCATGACCAATATTATCATGCCACAGTTGAATAAAGTAAACTGTTACTGATGGAAATATAATTGGTTCAATAGAAGTTCGAACAAAGTTTTCTAAATCAATATATGAATTAAATTCACGTTTTTTTATTTCAATTGGTGATAAATAAAATGAATTTATACGTAATGAATATAATGGGAATTGTGTTCCATTTATTGTAAGAATTATAAATTCACTATTGAAATAATATAAATTTTCAAATAAACATGACTGTTGATTAAATGGACCTATACATTGAATTTTTGTTTCGAATGATTTCTTTTGATCAATCGATGTGGAATTTGTTTTAGATGAAATTAATTTTATTTGCATATTATTATTTTGTACGATGATAATGATTATCAGAGAAATAATTAACATAATTTTAAATATCGATGGTATCGTTCTTTTTCGAATCAACATGATCTAAAATACATAAGAGAACACAGTTATAGAATCATTTTTGTGCGATTGTTACTAACGTCTTAATCGAGAAATGTTTAAAGAATAAGTATTTATTCAACTTCATTCTTTTTCTTTTCTTTTCGTTCTGAATAAAAAATGAAAAATTAACCATGCTTTTTATAGTGAGACTTTTACATTTTATTCTGTAAATAATAATAAATAATTCAAGGATAAATATATTTCAACGATGATGTTCGCATTAGAAGGTGAGATAAATGGATACAAGATATTTATACAAAATCATCGAAGAAGAAGAACTTCGTACTATCTGTTTCTTTGATACTGTTTGAGATTAATACTCTATGTTAAAGCGTGTCAACGCCGCCGCTTCGGGCTGAAATATGAAACTCACATAGTCACTACGATTACTAAAAGAACGCAGTCATTGGAGGGAAAAGCTGACTTTGTTACGATTTTGAAATTTTTGCATAAAATTAAAAAAAACGGGCCACTTTCTTAAAATGATTTTATCTCATTTAGATTGCTAAAAATTATAGATCGTTATCTATTATTATTGTCGAATTCATTCATTTTAATCTAAATCACATATGAAAGTTTATATTGGAGAAGAATAATAAATGAAGAATAATCTGATGTTAGTATCATAAAAACAGGTTAACTCCGATATCATTAATGAGAAAGATAGTGATTCGAATAAACAAAAATTCAATAAGAAGAGAGTAGAAGACTGAAAGATAAATCAAAGAAATGAAAACCGTTTAGATATATAGGTTTTGTGCATATATTGAGAAAAAGTCTTTCAAGCCATGTCTTGTTTCAGTCTGATCTAAAGGTTTTGTATCGAGTATATACTGAAGTGGTCTTCGGAAACGAAAAAGCATTAATTACAATTCAATTGAGTTGAACACATTAATTAAGTTCATCGATACACTTTTATATAATTGTTCTGCTTCGTAGATCTTTCGGAGATGATTTCAAAGAGATAATTTGCCAGTATACGAGCTACAGATGTTACAGGAAAGACGTGTTTTATGTCAATGTTCAAGTTTGTAAGCTGTTATGAGTGCGTAGTAGCGGGAAGATGGTTCAATTTTCTTGGCCATTTTATCGTTAATAAACGTTTATCTTCTTCGATTAGGCTTAGAAATTGTTTTAAAATTGATTAAGAACGACTTAAAATTAGTTGTTTCTCATTATCAGTAGTAGCTTCTTCCAACTATTTAGTCGACTTAAAAGTATTCTCACAAATTGAATAAAATTGCTCGATGTCCTCATCAAATTATTGATCAGATTTGGGTCGGCCTGGGTGTAGGTGTGGGTGAATAAATGTATAGATCCCGAAGAAGAAGAAAAGAAACCCAGATGCTCAAGATGGACGGGGGAGTGGGTGACGATATGGATCCCGAAAATGAAGAAGAGAAATCCACACCCACATCCTGAAAATGGATGGGAGTGTGAGTGTGGGTGAGTGACGATATGGGTCTCGAAGAAGAGAAACCCACACCCACATCTTCAAGATGAACGGGGGTGTGGGTGTGGATGTGGGTGAGGATGGGTGACGATATGGGTCCTGAAAATGAAGAAGAGAAATCCATACCCACATCCTGAAGATGGATGGGGGTGTGAGTGTGGGTGAGTGACGATATGGGTCCCGAAGAAGAAGAAGAGAAACCCACACCCACATCTTCAAGATGGACAAAGTTGAGTGAGGGATGAGAAATCTTCCTCGTTGCAGTCTCTAGTAATTACAAATTAATCTCAACTACTTAATTCTTTATTAGCATGTTTTAGAATGAAATAAGCGTGAATGAACATCTATAAATCGTTATAATTTGGATGTTGATCTGATTTTCTCTTAGTCGTTGCTGGGTTTTATATGAAAAGAATATTGAAATAAAAACTATCGTTTCATATTACTGTGTCAAGTCATGTCTATGATGCCTGATAATACCTTCAAGTAACACAATACTCTTTACTTTGGAAAAGCACGTTTAGTAAAATTAACAGTAATGAACGTGACGTGTGTCTTGTTGCAATGAAATCATTTCTCTTTCTTTTTATCATGATCTTGGTATAAATGACAAGCAGTGTTCGCAACAATCTAGTCATGTTATTGAAAAAATCAATATGAAATTGTTAATTATTGTTTTATCGATGGTAATAATCCATGCAAGTGAATCAATTGTACTTCTGTACGATACAGAAATAGGTTCTGGCAAAGAAGAAACTCATTGTATTTATTATGTTAAAGATTTTACTATAAAATACTGTGTTCGAATAGAAAAAGATTGGGAAATGTTTCCTTATAACAATAATTGTTCAAATGGTGAACAATGGAAATTCTCAAAACTTCTTCATGAAAATATTTCACCTTGGGACGTTTTATCATGGAGTTCAAGTACTGGAAAAGCAGAAAATTATGCTCGTATTTATTATAATCGATCGATTAAATTTGATGAAAATGATTTTCTATGTAAATGTACAGAACAATCATCATTTGGTATAGATTGTGAATATAAGTTATTGTTCAATTCATCAATGCTTAGTGATGCTATACAAATCACTTTCGAACAAAAAGAAAATACCGATGGTCATCAAATGTACGGTAGTATTATATGTTATGAGACATTAATTTGTAATTACGGTATGTTATGTCTTGATTGGAGAAATATTTGCGATCGAATGCAAAATTGTATGAATGGAATTGATGAAGAAAATTGTCATTTATTAGAATTTAATGAATGTGAAATTGATGAATATCGTTGTATGAATGGAATGTGTATTCCACATGAATATTGGCTTGATGGTAAATTTTATTTTATTAATTTATTTTATTTTCAAAAATTAAATTTCTAATTAGGTCAATATGATTGTATGGATTGGAGTGATGAATTACCCCCTCCTCCATTATCGTTAACGGATTGTGCTCTTAAACCATTAATATTCGATTGTGATGATCATCTATGTTTAGGTATGACTTGGTCATGTGGAGACGGACAATGTATTTCCATGTTAACTCGTCATATCTATCAATCATTTTTTTCAAGAGATTTAGGTTGTTACAGTATGCGAGAATATTATGGAATGTGTGAAACAGCTGCTCATACATCACTATGGACAAAGGAGAATGGTCTTTGCGCCAAATCTGGTTACGACCATAAGTTTTTAACCCATCCTACTGTAGATCACTTTTGTACTTATCTAATACGTTGTGCTCTATCTAAAGGCGCTGAAATTCGTTGCCCATGTAATGGTGTAAATTGTAGTATTTTATTTATTGATTTCTGTAACGACGCCGGTGCATTTATATATCCACCGGCCGGTATTATTCGTCCATGGCTCTTGAATGCGTATCTTGTTGATAGAAGTTGGGAAAATACTTTACCAGACCGTATGTACGTTTTCGGAAGTTATCGATGTCGAGGATTTATGGGTAATATAACAATGTTTGATCGTTATTTTTTTCCTGCAGATAATCACCTTAGTACCGCTATTCTCGAACGCACTATATGTAAGCAAACTCCATTGAAGAATCGAGATTCTCAATCATTATATCAGTACTCAAATACATGTTGGAATGATTCATTGACGTTCAATGGCCAACCATATGCTTTTAGTGATTTTTGTCAATCCAAATCTGAATGTTACTCACAATATCGAATTCGAGATGGTTATGGTGATTGTTATAATGAAGAGGATGAAGGAAATCATTCAATACCACAAATAAATTATTGTCATCGTATTCAACAACACCGTTTTCAATGCTCTTCTCAACAACTAACTTGTCTTCCAGCAAGACTTTTCGTTGAACTCATTAATCTAAATGTCGGTTGTGTAAATAAATATGACAAGTTCATCAATGGTAATGGTCGTGCATTAAATACAATGATGTGTAAGGAAGATAATGATTATAATGAATGTCAATCACTTCGATATTATATTGGTAATTCATCTATTATTAATGGAACATTTAAAGATGATCAAGATGAGGATATAGATCGTAGTTCAACTTTGAAACCTTTTCGATATTATTGTGATAGTCTCTGGGATGAAGCAATAACACACACAGATGAAGATTCTTCGGAATGCCAAATGTGGATTTGTAATGAAAAACAATTTCAATGTCGAACAGGTCAATGCATTGAATTAGAATGGGTATGCGATGGTGAATGGGATTGTTCAGATGCATCCGATGAATTTCATCTTAACACTAGTTTGTCTGATCACAATAAAAATCTTGTCGGTTTAAATGAACGCAAGACAAAGTGTCAAACATATAATGCACTATTACCCTTTTCTGATATTTGTATTTTTGATTATGAATATCCTTGTTATCGATCAAACGTTTCTAATCCATTAGATATTAATAAATATCGGCCATGTATTAATCATACTCAAATCGGTGATCGGATTGAAGATTGTTATGGAGGAATAGATGAAAAGAATATGTTTGAAGATTGTCAATCAAATATGCTTGGATATACTCTTCGATGTGGTGACAAATGTCAATTCTATACTACTGCATGTTTACAAGGAGATTGTATGACATCATTGTTGTGTTTCTATAGAAGTGAAAATACATCATGGTGCTCAAAAGAAAAAGATGTCATTTGTCTCAATGGGACATGTATTCCAGATGGTCGATGTGATAAAGTTCATCAATGTTTACATGGAGAAGATGAATATTGGTGTGCATTGGACACTTCAGTAATGACTATCTTTTATCGACAAAATAAAAGATCATTTCAACTTCGACATATCCCGGACGTACATTTAATGAATTTTCCAAAAGAAAATCACTCAGATTTTCAAATAAATACAAATCAACAAGCAGATTTCAGAGATATACCTTCACAATTGCCAGGAAAAAAACTGAATGATTTATTCTATAGATGTAATCAAGGTTTTCCTGCTTATATACCAGTTATACATACTTTCTACTGTTTGTGTCCACCTACTTATTATGGTTTTTTCTGTCAATTATTTTCGGATCGCTTATCCGTCATTACTCATCTTGATTTAACAACATTACCAAATGAATATTTAACAAATTCATTCATCATAGTTGCCACATTACATTTGAACAACACAATTGAAGATCATCATTTGTTTTATATTAATCCAACTATATTAACTCACAAATCTTTGAAAGAACATTTTTATCTTCTCTATTCTCGATCAAATAATTCTTTGCAATATAAAAGAGAACGATATTTTAATGGTACTGATATTCTCAATCATCATCCATATTCTGTACATTTCGATATATTTTCTTTAACAAATGATCGAATTGATGAACTTGGTTCTTTTATCTATCCAATTTATTTTGATTTTCTACCTGTTTTTCGTCTGGCAACTATCTTAAGATTTCCATCATGGTTTCGTAATTCTACTCTTGATCCATGTTATTCAGATCCATGTAATGAAAATTCGTCGTGTATACCCATCTTAAATCAAAATAATTCTTTCCGATGTTCATGCAAATCTGGCTACAGTGGAAACAATTGTCAGATTTCTCATCCTGAATGTGAATCGTATTGTGCTCCTACAGCTTTCTGTCGGCCTGGCTATCGTGGTGAGATCAATGGTCCAACATTGCCTCTATGTATTTGTCCATTGGGTTCTTTTGGACCTCGTTGTTATATACGAAATGAAGCATGTAAATCAAATCCATGTGGAATGAATTCGACGTGTCATGCCACGTATGATCCTAGTGGTGAAAAACCATTCTTCTGTATATGTCCTCAACAATATTATGGTGATCAATGTCAATATGAAAAAGTTCCTGTCTATATTCAAATGAATCTAACAACTTTAACAGATATAGCAGTAAGTGTTATTCAATTTTATAACATAACAACGTCTGCAATATCACTAAAATTACTTGATCAGCAAGTCACACATGGTATACCTAAGATTATTCGATATAATCATTCAAAAGAAACATCCCCACCGATTGCTCTTCTCAAGACTTATGATAAATTAACTAATTGGAAATATTTTATTCTTTATATTCAATCAAAATCAACTAGAATTATCAATATAACTTCAACACCAAAAGAATGTCCAAATGTACTGATTTTACTTTCTCAAATGAATATAAAATCATTGAGTACAACGAATATCTTTCGATATCATCAGATTTGTCGAAATAATACCAATCAAATATGTTTTTATGATCGAAATTATTTTTGTTTCTGTCGACAAAATCATTACGGTGTTAATTGTTTTCAATATGATCTTCTTATTGATAAATGTAATCAATGCTTTTTGAATGGAAAATGTATAAAAGGTGATTTAGAAGATGCCAATGATTTCATTTGTCTTTGTCGATCATGCCATCAAGGTCGTCTTTGTGAATTTAGTTTAGAAGCTTTTGGTTTTACTTTAGATTCATTATTAATTTCAAGCTTAACAATTATTCAATCTATTTATATTGGTCTTGCTTTTGTTCTTTTTATTATTGGATTCTTAACTAATTTATGTGCATTTGTAACTTTTAAACGAAAACCATCTCGAAAATTTGGTGTTGGAAATTATCTTTTAGTTACGACTATTCTTAATCAATTAAGTTTAGTTTGTTTATTATTTAAATTTCTTCATGTTCTTCTTGGAGCAAAAGGAAAAACAAATGATATATCTTGTAAAATCATTAGTTATCTTCTTTCAATTTTGACTCGTTCAACATATTGGTTAACAAGTTGGGTAACAATTGATCGTTTATTTATTGTTCTATATCCAACATCATCTATATTGAAAAAACCTATGATTTCAATTTATATGATAATTATAACTCTATTTATTCTTTGTCTTATGCATTTTCATGAAATTTTATTTTATAAAACAATTCATGAACAACCAAATTCATCAACTTTATTATGTATTCCTCGATTTGATGAAACTTCTATTGCTATTTATAATCGAGTCAATACATTAATACATTATCTTCTACCTTTTTCTATTCAAATTATTTCGATTACTTTATTAATCATTCATGCTGCTCGTAGTCGATCAAAAACTTCACAAAATAAAATAACATTAAGTCAATTAATAAAAAAACAATTTTTTGTTCAAAAAGAACTTTATATAACTCCAATGATTATTATTGTTGCTGCTTTACCACAAGCTATTCTTTCATTTAGTTTAGCTTGTATTGAATTGAATGATTTTAAACGACATTTATTTTTATCAACATTTCTTCTTTCTTATTCTCCACAAATTCTTGGATTTATTCTTTATGTTGTTCCATCAACTGTATTTATGAATGAATTCAAACAAACAAAACTAGCAAAGAAATATTTGCAATGGATAATTAAAACTTCATCAAAATAAGAATAAAAACATGGACGTATTTCATGATTCTCCCTCTTCCCTCTTTTTTTCCGCTTTTTGGCCTATCTTGAGGGTGTGGATGAGGACTTTTTTCTCTTCTTTCACCCACACCCACCCATAGGTGTTTGTAGCTATGAAATATTTAACCAATAAACAGAAATTATGTCTTGCTTTTCTTGTCTGTAAAAGTTTGTTTATTTCCTCGACTGTAGAAAAGCTCATATGAGATAAAATTGACTCAAGATTTGTTTTCGTAGGGCGGGTGTAGATGAGAGAAAGGATTAAGAGGTTACTCACGCCCAAATCCGCAGCCTCAAGCCGGACTTTAAATATTACCATCTTGAGGGTGAGGGTGTGGGTGTGTATGTCGATGAAGAACTATATCACCCACACCCCACATGTACTATTTTATGCAAGTTTTCAAAATATATGTTCAATCTTAGTTCAAAGATTTAAAATATTATAAATGTCATAATCTCAGCAAATCATTTTTCTAAAAAAAACCTGGTTCTTTAGATTATATTATAGTATTCATTGTATTTGAAAAAATAGTAAAAATTCTATTTTATTATAAAATAAATCAATAATAAAACCTTTACTCGTTATTTTTTTCTTTTTTCTATAACAGACGATAATATATTCCAAGCTTTTTTCCTCTTGCTTTCTGTACATTTTTGTTATTTCGTTACACATCATTGATTTTCATGTGCATCTCTTATATTAAAATACTAGCATTCACATACCTGTTTTTTTATTTTCTACATCAAAATGGACAAGCTTCCACAACGACAACAACAACAAGCTGGTAAGTAATGAGCTGAAGAAATTTATAATTAACTGTTGTTGTATATTTAGATTGTCCTACAAATGGAGCAACTATAGTTGGTAGGTATTTAATTATCTAATTGTTCACTGTTTGATTATTTTTCTTTTGAAGTATTTCAACCTTCTAAGAATTCAGGTGGTCGACAACCACAATTCGTTTTTGCTGGTGGTGTGATTGCCCCTCCAAATGGAATTTATCGTTTAACACCAGCTCGACCTGGGGAACTATCAAGTTTAGGACCGAGATGGACCGGACATCTTTAGAAGATAATACTTTCAAACTAATCATGAACTTATCGCCAAATCTCATTTTCTTTTAAAATAAATTTATTGACGGAAAATGCTGTTTTTTTCACTGATCATTGAGAAATTCTCAGAGCTCAAATTCATCTGTAACAAAGTGATTACTATCAGACTTCTTTTCTCTTGAGGGTTTGAGAATGGATAGTATATTTATCTGATACACACACCCTCAAAGACTAATGTCTTTTTTATATTCAAAAACATTTATGCAAAAAAATAAAAGTCAAACAACTTTTATGTTTTGTACTTTCATATTATTCATCTTAATAATACAAGGAAAAAATATTTTTCTTTTAAAATCGTATTAATTATATACAATTATTACGATTTTTATTTTCATTCAAACAAATCTTTTTAAAGTAATATCATGCAATCATCTTCAATAAATTCAACAGTTCTATGAAGAATTTTACAATCAATTATTATTATTATTATGTAAATTGTCGTTTTAAAAAATGTATGAAAACTATCACAAGTTCATATTCAAATTGGTTACTAAACTGTTCAAGTCTTATTTAGATGTTTACATATTTATAGAAAATACTAAGAGATAGAAATCAACTAAAAAGCATTTTTAGTGCGAAATCACGTCCATCAATAAGAAAAAACTTATATCTATCACTACGAATCCAGAAATCATTCTATAGAAGTATCCACGAATGATACTGATCAGTGACTGTTCCTCACGGTATATGTGAGGATCTAGGTGAAATTATGAATGAAAATAAAACTTGATCGTATAATTCTTCGTTTTTATTTACTATCGCTCATCCTCACAAACCTTCATCCGTTCAGTTTTCTTATTGAAAATAAAGCCGTTTATTTAACAAATATTAAAATCTTCTTAGATAAACAGTGAAAAGATTATAGTTTTTGTTCTTATTATACAATGAATACTTATACCTTATAGTAGTATGTTCTACAGACACGATGTAACCTTATTCGAGAAAAATGAATTATAAACGTTGTTGCCTAAGTTATAGCTATTATTGTTTAGATCATTTTACATGAAATACATTTGTTTTTTGAAAATCTTTAAAAAAATAGTTCTAATTTATCAATAGTTCCAAAGTAATTTTTAATGCAAATTGAACTAAAACTCTTTTTTTATAAATATTTGAGATTTTTCTTATTATGTAAAGTGTATCTACAAATCGTAGTCTATAATATTGTACTCTCCTTTAACGTATATTGTAATAAACAGAAGTACATTATAATATTTACTCTTTCGTGATTTTTCTTCGAAGATTTATCAAAGTATTGTATAAATATATCAATTATAATCTGTTTTGACAATATAATCATTTCAATTAATCAAAAAATCATAATCTATTCTTCATCTAACTGATATTGACAATAGACTATGATCTCAAAAAATTAATGATGCTTTTAGTCCTAAGTATATCACGTATCAATCAATACGTATTTCACTGTATAATCACGTTTAAAATATGTTATCATCAGTTTTATTAGATAACACATATATGAAGTATAAAAACTTGAACTACTGCTTTTTCCAATTCTTCATGATATTAAGACTCAATGTGATATTCAACAAAATGTAATTTCATACAATCGCAGTTTGTGTCTATGCCAACCATGATACTTACTTGTCAATCTATTTGTTTTCATTTTCGTTGCAACAATACTTCACATGATCATTACCATATATAGCACACGAATTATTTGCCTTTGTTTGAACAGTATCATACGATTTAGTTTAAAACTTCCAAAAAAAAATATTACTAAATGCAATAGTACTATCGAACGACTTCAAAACCACTTTGATAACAGAATTTTCGTAGTTACAAGATAGTTTCGTACAGAACTTTCTTATCTCTGGATAAATTCTGCCAGACTGAAACAATCATATTAGGTTCAACAGTACTGAGCACAGAATCACTCTGATTCAGCACTAATTCATACTGCACATTTTACGGTTCAGCGTCAACGAAAAAAACATTTCTGGTTCAATATCATTAGAGCGTACCACTTTACTTCAACAATACTAGAAAAAACGTCTCAGAGTTTTACTATTAACACAAGAAATCTTTCATCGTTCGTTATAACCCTAAACGATCTTTCATAGTTCCACTGCCATAATACAAAACTTTTCTATCTCAGTCCTCTTGAACAGAAATTTTGAAAGTTTTAATATTGTTATAGAAAACCTCAGCCTAGTTTTGCATGCGCTACACACTCGCCCAATTATTCCGCAAAATGTCTATTTTTTAATATAGATTAAATTTGAAACCAAGCAGTTTTATTTAATATTTCTGACAAACTTATAACATAACAAAATATTTCCATGATCCTTAACAGCGATTTATTGTTCGTCTGAAGAAAATTAATATTACCATTCATGGTTTTCTTCATCTTTGATTCCGTTCAAATAATTCATCGATTAAATACATTGCATCCTTTTCGATACTATTACCCACGAAATGTAGTGTCATGAGTGTCTACATGAAAAAATTGAATCAGACACATGACATAGACAAAGAGAGAATGAGAATTACTGTATTGTGTTGTAATGCATCAGCTAAAGATTGTGCTCCAATATATTTGATTTTATTAAATCTAAGACCTAGCGTGGTGAGCGTCTAGATGAAGTAGTAGAGCCAAAAAATGTTATGAATAAGGTGACAATGAGAGTTACCGTGTTGTGCTGTAATGCATCTGCTAAATACTGTGCTCCAGCATCTCCAATCTGATTTTCAGCGAGATTTAACGTGATGAGTGTCTGAATGAAGAAGTGGAAGTAAGGACATGATATAGATAAAGAGAGAGTGATAGTTACTGTGTTATGTTGTAGCGCATTGCTCAATGATTGTGCTCCAACATCTCCAATTTTATTCCATTCGAGATCTAATGTGGTGAGCGTCTGGATGAAGAAGTAGAAGTAAAGACATGGTATAGATAAAGAGAGAATGAGAGTTACTATATTGTGTTGTAATGCATCAGCTAGATATTGTGCTCCAACATCTCCAATTTGGTTGCTCCAGAGTTCTAGTGTGGTGAGCGTCTAGATGAGAAAGTGGTGGTAAAGACATGATTTAGAAAAAGAGAGAATCAGGGTTACGGTGTTGTATTGTAATGCATCAGCTAAATATTGTGCTCCAACATCTCCGATTTGATTGGCCGCGAGATTCAGTGTGGTAAGTGTCTGAATGAAGAAGTGGAAGTAAACACATGGTTTAGATAAAGAGAGAATGAGAGTTACCGTGTTGTATTTTAATGCATTACTGAAGTAGTGTGTTCCAACATGTCCGATTTCATTGGTCCAGAGCACTAGTGTGGTGAGCGTCTAGATTGAATAGTGGAGATAAAGATATGGTATAGATAAAAAGAGAATGAGGGTTACCGTGTTGTGTTGTAATGCATCACCTAAATATTGTGCTCCAACATGTCCGATTTGATTGCTCGAGAGCTCTAGTGTGGTGAGTGTCTAGATAAAGTAGTAGAAACAAAGACATGGTATGAATAAGAAGAGCATCAAATTTACTGTATTGTGTTGTAATGCACCAGCTAAATATTGTGCTCCAACATCTTCGATTTTATTCCATTCGAGATCTAATGTGGTGAGTGTCTGGATGAAGAAGTGGAAGTAAAGACATGATATAGACAAAGAGACAATGAGAGTTACCGTGTTGTGTTGTAATGCATCACCTAAATATTGTGCTCCAACATGTCCGATTTGATTGATCGAGAGATCTAGTGTGATGAGCGTCTACA